ATTAGTAAATATTTTTTACTTTATTAAAAAATATAATTCTTTACGATTTACTTTATTAAAAATAATTTAAAAAATTATTCACTAATTAAGATGCTTACTCACAGGATCAAGTATAAGCTCAAAATATTTATATATAGGCTCAAGTATGAGGAAAGTCAATGTTTACCTATAGGCTCAAATATAAACTCAACCAATGTTTAACTATTGGCACAAGTATAGACGAAGCCAATGTTTACTCATAGGTTCAAGTAGAGACAGGAGCCATGGTTACTGATCAGCTGAAATATAGACCTAAATAATTTTACCGTAGTCTCAAGAATATATATACGTGCAATGATTGCTTATATACTCAAATAAATAAAAAAAATCTGAATTTGACACTAAACCATGAGCATTATCAATTGATGACTTCAGCTTTTTTTTTCAAAGATAAGGGCATCATTTATTTACGAATCGAATGCAGATGACTAATTGTCAACTCTAGCATTTATGGGGTTTAACGAGTTACTCGTATTCACTCATTTCATTGCGTATTTGTCTGCAAATAAAACTGTTAGAACGAACAACAGACAGTTTTGTGTTCAAAATGTAGCAAAAAGTGTTACAACGAGATGAAAAGAATTCATAACTGCATTGTACATGGAAGGCTTCAAGAGGTAGCATAATATTGTAAAAATGTAAAATTTAGGAACAGAGAAATTGTTTTATTTATTGACCTTTTTTCTTTTTTTTAGTGTAAAAGTGTTAAAATATTATTTTAAAATTTTATATTTTGTACAGAAATACAGCGTAACTATTATTAATAAGTAAAATGTAAAACAATTCATGTTCTCTTTTTATTACCTGTATGGGGCACACACACGTACAACTTTCTCTGCCGTTTAAGGCTTACAAATGCATCTAAACCAAGATAGGACGAACCAGCATCTGCTATAAGGAACATCAATATTCATTATTTTGCAGCAATCAAAATTAATATGTATATCCCTGCTAAAGGAATAACCGCTTTCCATTTGCAAAAGGGAGTTACCGTTTTGTTAGGTACTGGTATTTATTGATATATTTTATTTCTTTGCGTCTATTTTGATTTTCAGGATTTTAATTTTTTTTATTTATTTTTACTTATTTTTATTTTATTTTTTTATTTATTTCGATTTTAAGTTTTTACTTTTTAATTTATTTTTCAATTTGTTTAATTTATTTTTATTTATAGTGTTTCATTTGTTTAATTTATTTTTATTTGTATTTTTAGGCATTTAATTGTTTTTGTCTGATTTCTGGGATGAGGGGTTATTATTTGCATTATTTACATTCGGATTATTTTTCTCATCTTTGTTGTTTTTTTTTTGTTTTATTTATTTTTTATTTTACTTTTAGTCTTTTATTTCTTCTTTGTTTTTATTTTTATTTGTTTTATTTATTTTTTGCAATTTATTTATTTTATTTTAGGCATTTATTAGTTTTATTTCATTTTATTTGTGTAATTTATTTTATTTTTAGGCTTATCTTAGATTTATTTTTATTTTTATTTCTTTTATTTGTATTATTGCTTTGTTTTTATTTTATGACGTTAAATTTTTTTTCTATGTTTTTCTTTATTTTTCTTTTTAGGTTTTTGTTTCATTAAATTTTATTTATTTATTTCGTTAATTTCTTTTATTTTAATCTTTTATTTGTTTTATTTTTCTTTATTATATTTATATTATTTTATTTTATTATTAGGATTTCTTGTTAATTTTATTTGTTTTTTATTTATATTTATTTGTTTTATTTAATTTTATTTATTTTATTTCAGGATTTTGTTTGTTTTATTTTTCGGAATTTCGGTATTATATTTCCTTTTTTTATTACTTTTTCTTTTCTTTTTTCTCAACGATTTGTCTTATTTTATTTATTTCTACATTTGAAACAGGATTTATGTGTGAATTTACCACTGCAGCAAATGTATTCTAACCCCTTATTGGAAACACATTTTCGCAAAATATTCTCCATGGTTCTGCAGCTATATAACTCTGCTACCTTCATTACCAACTTGAAAATTGCCATTACAGAAATTCTAGCGCATAATTATTTTATCTCATTTTATTTTTGCTTTTCTCTTTTGAATCTAACGATTAAGGGCAATATCCCCACCTCTGAGGTGACGCACGTGCTAAAATGAATACATCTGAGTGAAGGAAACGGATGAACCATTCAAATAGCCATACAAGAATCTAACATGTAGATATTTACTGAAGTATTCGTAATCTGGGCGAGTGACCTAAGTGGTTAGAACATCCGCTTTCTGACCAAGAAACCCGGGTTTGAATCTCAACATGCTGGATTTGTAAGGAAGACGGCTTGATCTTATCAGCGATCTCAATGTGTGACACGTTTGGAAATGCGTTAAAATCAAACAATGGGTTCTCCCAAACTTTGTGTGTGAAATATAGGTAGACAGAACTGTCGTTCGATAATTTGCCTCGGACGAAGTCACAAGTCAACGTGAACGTGGGTTTGAGAGTCCTGTCCTTGATCCCACCTGTTGATCTCACCGGATGATGCGTCTTTTCCAATAAACTCTAAGGATCTCTCAGTATTGTTGCAGTATAAAACACAATTGGAATCTGTGGGTGTTGAAGAAACACATATGTGTCTGAGCAGGAGTCTCCAGTAGGGATGACATCGAATTTTACGTTTTATGTCATACAGGCATACTGACAGCTATTATATGTAATTCGACACAAGGCTGCATAGTGAAATTGGAAATCACTAACAATGAGTTGTGAGAGAAAATTGTAATAATCGCTCAAAATAATGTCATTTCATATATGCGTGTGTATGTGTGTAAAGGCGTCATCTACAAGGCTAGCATTAAACATAATGTTGAAACAAAATTTTATTTCGGTTCCACAGCAAAAAACTGGAAAACGAGATTTTACCATCACAAAATAACTCTTAACAATAAGCAATATACAAATGCCATGGCACTATCAAAATTTTACTGGGATACTTAAAAGGATGACTACACACCGGTAGTAAATTTGAAGTTCGTCGCCAAAAGTACGCACTTTTCCGGCCGTGGCGAGCAATGCAGCCTGTGTTTGCTGGGGAAAAAAGATTCCTCCTCAAAAATATTTATGACAGAAATCTACTTAATAAATGAAATGAACTAAGGTTAGATTGTAATCATAGGAAAAGATTTCTCTTAAAATATTTCAATTCTGGATAAATATATTATCCAATTATCACTGGCTTTTCCAATATTTTAAGTTACATCTTGCTTACCTCCACTTTAACCATTTTAACGTCTATTTTTACTTATCCGGTGTTCGTCTTTTAACCTTTAAGCTTGGCTTTTTAGCCAATTACCTACACCATATTTTCTGTATTTACGTCCCAATATTATAATTAACTTTTTAAATTTGACCTGTAAATCTGTATGTATTTTATTCAAAAGTAATAGTTCGTGCCAGATAAGTTGGTAGAACAACGAAACTTAAGTTGCACTTCGGACGTAAGTATATGTATATTTATTAATATATATTTCTCAGCTCTGTCTAAACACATTCAGCACTGTTTTGTTTACAGCTTAAATTAAACTTAGTAATTATTTATTTGCTTACCTCTGTATGCCCGCTAACGCAATATATACGGTTCCTAATATCTAGTTTGATTTATCCACCTCAATATCTATCTATCTATCTATCTATCTATCTATCTATCTATCTCTCTATCTCTCTCTCTCTCTCTATATATATATATATATATATATATGTGTGTGTGTGTGTGTGTGTGTGTGTGTGTGTGTGTATGTGTGTGTGTATAAATAAAAAGAAAGAACAGCAAGATATATAATCCGGTGTTCTTATAGATATTTTTATTTTTACAAAATAGTGCTCAATGTAAATTTACAGAGCATTAATATTATAAATTAATTGATTTAAAATATGTTTTTTTTTTTTTACTACACAGTTCTAACCATGTTTCAAAAATGGAAGCTAAAAGCCCCGAATTTAATTTTGTGATTAAATTAAAGACATTAGTTCCATTTCATCCTCAAGCAAATTTTGGAGTAACTTTTTAAAATTACTGGGTTTTAAATAAACAGCTAAAACAAAATTCATGTTTCCAAGGTTACAGATAAATCTATTTTTCTAGACAGGGGTGACTGGGTTTTCAATATGTCTATAATTTAATGTATCAGTTATTGCTACGTTTGGGTCGTGGGAAGGGAAGCATGAAAAAATCGATTATTTCCACTATCGATGGGAGTTGGGAAATGCAAAGTCGGTCTTGGCCTTCCCGTTAACTTGGAGCATGTCCATGTAAATTTGGTGCAAATCCGTCGGAAATTGCGGCCGTACATTCGTTACGCACACACACACACACACACACATCCTGTCTTATATATATATATATATATATATATATATATATATATATATATATATATATATATATATGCTAGTCGTGGACGCCCTACGTTTTCCCTAGTTTCTCGCCTAATCCCTTTTCTTACCTCTATCTCTGACTCATACAGCTCTGCCCTCTTGCCAACTTTGGTCATGCGGTAGTGTTTGTTAACATCTCTTTCAGCTTCCCCAGCAAGCCAAGAATATCTTCCTGTTATCAATGAGCGAATTGGAATTCTTTTCGTGATTTACTTCGTTATATCCTGTTCAAAAATGTGCGCCCCCTCCTGTGTGATAGCTGGGATCGACGCTTCCATTCCAGCAAGGAAATACCAAGTTAAATCGCGTTCATCTCCATGGTTCTCATCTAGATGCTCGGTCGCTATAGCCCGCAGGAATCACTTCTGACTGTACCAGAACGACACGTCTGATTGCAACAGACATCTCTTTGTCTCTGCTCGTAATGAGTGCGCGCGTGTCATCAGAGAAGCGAAGTTATTGTTTGCTGATAGAATGAAACGACGTATATCATCTTGCATGTTCGGTTCTAGAGATTATTAGCACCTTTGCAAGAGTCTGTTGAACAACAGCATGTCATGAATCTGGCTATTCAATCAGTTCGAAGCCCTGATATATACAGCAGATAAATTTGAATGCTTTGCTCGGAAATTCTCCTTCAACTCAACACACGCTCTATTTGGTGTCCCCACTAGGACAGAGACTTTAATGACTGATATTCGCATAACCTCGTCACTGGTCTCGGAAATTATTTCTAAATTAGACTCCCATAAGGCAAGCGGTGAAGGGATCCCAACCGTCACCTTAAAGAAATGTGCTCCAGTGATGGCTTTAGTTCTCTCAAAACTCTATAACTATTGACACACTGTCTCCTGCTTTCTAGCTTGTTGGAAGACCTCATTTGTAGTTCCTATTTTTAAGAGCTTCTGACCCCTCTAACTATCGTCCTGTTAGTTTCCTACCTTTTTTGGGCAAAGTATTCGAGGCTTTAATCAATACTGAAGTGGTTAAGCATCTTACCTCTCACAAATTACTCTCTGACAAACAATTCTGTTTTGCCAGGTTTACGTTCTAACGGTCATCAATGAATATATATATCTACTTTTTGGGGGCACCTCGAGGTGGTGTAATGGTTAGCAAGCTTGTCTCGCTAGAACAATTACGAATGAGTAGTGAGTTCAATCCTCATTGGGTGACCCTTACTTTCGGCCTTGTGCCACATCCAAGCTACACTTGGAAAATCGCTATATCTACCTCTTGATAATAACGTAGCTCGAGCTGTGACTCTAGATATCTCGAAGGTGTTTGACAGGGTTTGGCACGCTGGTCTTCTACGTAAGCTCCAGGCTACGGTAATACTGGTCGATTGTTTGATATAATCCAATCGCTCCTTTCAAATCGTGAAATAAAGGGCGTGTTGAACGGGCTCACTTCCAGATCCGTTCACAAGAACTCGGATGTCACCCAAGGCTCTATCCTGCTTCCTACACTATTTCTGGCGTTCATCAATGATTTTCATGGTGTCATCAGTTCCCAAGTAGGCATTTATGCTGATGATACGACCATTTACTCCTGTCTCAATAGAAAATCTATCAGAGCTTTTTTGGACGATGCTCTTGATAAAGACCTCCAATCAGTGGTTATTGGGGCAAATGACTTGCAAATGAATGCCTCCACAATGAATCTTCTCTCATTTAACCTCCATTGAGAAACTTTCCTGCCCTGACTTGAAGTGGAATCAATAGCTACATCTACTGCAAGGAAGGTTGAATTTTTTCTCGTCAAAGTTTATCTTGCACATTTACGAATCTACCATTCGTCCGCGCATTGAATACTGTTTCCATAACTGGTCTGCTTCTTCTGTTATTCATCTCGAGGTTCTTGACAAAATCCACAGATCGGCAAAGTAATCAATCCTGACTTGGTATTTCGACTTCAGTCACTTTCTCACCGACGTGGTGTGGCTTCCCCCTGTCTTCTCTACAAAATTTTTCATAAAAAGCTTTCTATCACTGCTGCTCCGAATATATCAAAATAAGCGTGCTACTAGATTGGCATCTAAGTCCCACCTTTTTACGTGTAAAATACTTCAATTTAATCGCCACTTCCACTGCAAGAGCTTCTTTTCTTGAAACTTCTCGCTTGTGGAACTCCCTTCCATTTACTTGCATCCTCGATAACTCCAACCTTTAAACATTTAAATGCAGCGTCAAACGCCATTTTTTATCTTCATGAATCATTATCCTTTCCTCAATCCACCACTTATACCCAGTCTTTTCTCTCACCATCTCTCTCTGTAACCCCTACGTACTAGTGGCATTCCCGCCTTGCTTGAGGTGAAACGCTATATATATATATATATATATATATATATATATATATATATATATATATATATGTGTGTGTGTGTGTGTGTGTGTGTGTGTGTGTGTGTGTAACCCATCTCACCATACACAAATAATCAAACACAGAAAGCATGAATAGATCAAGTTTTGAAAAAAATAAACGAGTTTGTCTGAAGACCGTGAAAGTGTGAAACCCGGAATTACAAACTACTATCCATGCAACAGTATATATATAGTCGACTCTCCCGTCGATTTCGACGTATGAGGTTCAAGCAGATCAGTTCCCAGGAAACCGACAGCCCGACACCGGCACATGAGATTTGATTATAGTGGTGAAGGCTTCGTGCAGGACCATCCACACTTTCTGAAGGGACGAATACAGAGACATGGTGCACTAAGTGCCACAAGGTTCCCAAACGACCTTCCGCAGGTTTTGAATTCAGAGTTGTCCTTCTCCTAGACCAGTTGCCATCAAAGGCTATAGAACCCAGTCTGCCCTGCTATTTTACCCATATATATATATAAACTTATCACAAGCCACCAAAATGCTATTAACTTGAAACAAATAATTAATAATCTTACAATACTATACCTGAATACCTATACAGTGTAACCCGAATATAAGAGACCCGGATATAAGAGAATCCCGGATATAAGAGAGATTTTCTCTGGTCCCAAATTAGAGCCTGTGTTAATGTATATAAAATAGACCAAACCCGGATATAAGAAAAACCCGGATATTGGAGACTTCTTCTCCGGTCCCGACAACTCTCTTATATCCGGGTTACACTGTATTAACCCACAATTCGTTTAACCCTTATAATTTCGTTACATTGAAATTATTCCATTCTTAATTTCAGAAATCTAACAACGAAAGGAATTTGCCAAGAATATCTTAAGTACGAAACTAATAAACCCAATGACTGTAATAACCGAAATTACTTGAATATATTAGACAGAGATTAACAATTTATTCATAACTTCAATCCCGATGTGCAATACCTGATTAGGAGACTCAGGCGCTTGCTAATAATGAAGTTTATATTTTTGAAAATTTAACACATTTTTACATCTGAACATGTTTCGTTTTCAGAAATGTGACTATACTTACCAAACAAACAAATATCCCTTCTGCTGTTTGGTAAAAAGTCGACCGGGTACAAAAAGGCATATGTTTGGCAATGTCCCGTACTATTACAAATTATTTATGTGTGATGATTTAAACAAGATGGTTGTATTTTAACCAAACAAACCCCGGCGACTCCATATTCGGCAGGAGGGAAAGGAACACCCCCCCCCACAAAAAAAATTGTATTTTGGACGATTTTAAACAAAAATTGCCCTCAAAGCTCTTTGTTTGAAAAAAAAGAAAACATTTTTTTTTTCTTAAAACAACTGAATTTGTTATAATGTCTTTATTTTAGATATTTCAGGGGGTTGATGCCGCGGTGGGTTCTATTTTTCTTGGTGGGCTAACGGGCCCCAAAAATAAATTTGTGTGAGAATGATTCAATGGAAAGGTGGATTTTAAATAAATATCTCAAGGTTTTCAAGGATTTTTGGTAAAAGTTCGCTTGTGTATTTTTGTTTGAAACTTAAGTATTCGTTTGCATAAGCTACAACCCCTGTTTGTTATATAAATATATTTGTATGCAGAAATGAAATAATCATAAGAGAATTTTAAACGCATGTATAGGGATATTATATCTGTGGTGACACCCATAATACTATACATAGAAATACATTTCTAAACAGAATTAATTAGGACTTGGGTACTATATATATATATATATATATATATATATATATATATATATATATATATTTGTGTGTATGTATTTTGTAATGACATTAATGCTGTACAAGGCTCAAGGAACACTTGAGATAGAGAGTTACAGAATAAGAAGCATCACCCCAAGTATGGTAATAATGCCACCGAAAAGAAACGGCCACCGTGAGCGAAAGAGAAAAAGAAAAATTTAGAAGGAACCGGAAACCCAATCCTAAACAGGAAACAAGGGATAAACCGCTACTCCTGTTCAGCAGAGCAGGGCGACTGTGAAACGGGCGATGGAAGAACCTATTTAATTCGATTGTAAAGTTAAATAAATACTAAATATAATTTTAGAGTTTTAGGTGGAATAAACTATATATATATATATATATATATATATATATATAAATAAAAGAAAGAAAAAAATTTGTAACCTAATAATATACACACTTATAATTGATCTGAAAATAATTCTACATACTGTAAGGGATTCTAATTACATTTAATTGTTCTTAAAAGAAATATACATATACATCCCCCAAAAATCTTTAAATATACAAATAGAGAAAAATGCCGTAAGAATTTTTGACGTTAACAATAAAATTTAAAAAAAAATCCAGACTGCATGCATTTAACGGATGTTAGATTTCATTGAAAAATGCATCCCTACCCCCTACCAAAACGTAACTAATAACTGATACATCAAAATACAGACATGATGAACACGCAGACACCCCTCGTCTGGATGAAGTGAATTTATCTGTAACCTTGGAAACGTGAATTATGATTTTAGCTGTGTCGTTAAAACCCAGTAATTTTAAAAGTTACTCCAAAATTCACTTGAGGATGAAATGGAACTAATGTCTTTAATCTAATTACAAAATTAAATTCGTAGCTTTTAGCTTCCATTTTTGAAACATAGTGAGAACTGTGTAGCGAAAAAAAACATTTTAAATCAATTAATTTATAATATATATATATATATATATATATATATATATATATATATAGAGAGAGAGAGAGAGAGAGATACACACACAGTACCCCAGTTGTCCAAAACAAAACATTAAATAAATTATCAACAGCAACAAATTTAAAACAGCTAAACTTATCCTCAAAAATAACAAGACACTTGAAAAATTAAATCTACAAAGAACGAACATTAATTGAGGACAAATGACCCTTAAGGGACTGTGTTCCTGATCAAATTGAACTCATGAATAATTACATCGGTCACGCAACTACATGCCTATCCAGACGCCTTGTGTTATATCTATTCGACCACAGCTTCAAAAGAACACATTTAAAACACACACACAAACTTACTAGAATCCATTCGAAACATACCAGTAGAGAATACAACCATAATAACCTCATCCACATGTAAAAAAAGATTAAAAATAATGGAAGACTTAATAATAAAAAAGAAAAAACAATGCCCAATAATATTGACTACGAACACTGCCAAAATGTGATGACTGTGTTTGGAAAATAAAACATCCTTATGAATCTACAACATACTCATAGATCTAGATACATACAGACAACCCATACATACAGGTAAAAACTAAAAATTAAATCATCCTTGATAATGGCTAGAAGTATAGCCGAAAGCGCTTTGAACATTTGGACAGTTTCCACACAGTCTGTGTTCAGAAAAGGAAACACTTGTTCGAACACAAAAATTAAATAAAAAAGGTTAATCGCAGTATCTTTTCTTCGTCTGTAATGTAACATGTATAAATGATTGCTGCCTAAATACACAATATACATCTATCTATCTATCTATCTATCTATCTATCTATCTATCTATCTATCTATCTATCTCAGTCTCTCTCTCTCTCTCTCTCTCTCTCTCTATATATATATATATATATATATATATATATATATATATATATATATATATATCGCACCTGTATATATATATATATATATATATATATATATATATAATACAGGGTGCGATGCGAAAATTGTCGCCATTTTATATTTTTCACTTAAGTATGTTGTTTATTTTTGATTTTGTCGTCTGCACTGTATAGTAGGATCAGAGGAAAAGAGCACTGTGACGCAATTTCCTACAGAAATCTGGAAATTGAATGCTGTACTGCTTGGCATTCGCACCGGAAACTCAAATACGAACATTTCAGTGTGTTTGAGTGTCAATCTGGTGACAATGCATAGGATTCGGAAAGAGCTGGATGAGACTGATTTTGATTACGAACGTGTTTGGAGTGATCACTTGTGGTGTCGACGTTATGACTATTTCCCCCACAAAGCCCCAAAACGGAGTCCTACATGAAGTGATTTGAGGAGGTAGTGTTGTTTTTAGTTTAGGGAGTTGCTACTAGATGACCCTGTCTGGCAACAGGTCTTTGCGCCATGCGATACAAGCAGGAAAAGTCAGTCATGGCTCTCAGACAATTTCTAGGAGAACATCACCTCTTACATGTGGCCACCTAACTCCCCAAACTGCAACCCCCGTTAATTATGATTTTGGGTGGGAGCAGTTGAACGAGTGACCAACAAAACCCCTTGCAACATCAAAGATAAACTGAAGGCAAGGATTATGGCAACATACCCCAACAAGATATTTTTGTGCAATTTTGGGAACTATATCAGTTAGTTTAACAGATATATTTACCAAAATTATAGAGTCAGAGTTATTTTCATTTTTGCGCAGTTTGGACATATCTATCTCACTCTGAACATATGATATTGAGTGAAGATTTAAAAAAAAAAAGTAGTGTTCTATGTAATATAGCACAATTATTACGTATATATTAATAAATATACATAATATCGGTAGAACCCGGTTAAAATTAATATATATATATATATATATATATATATATATATATATATATATATATATATATATGTATATATATATATATATAAACATATAAACGGAATTAGGATTACTCCATAATACTGATGATGAACATTTCACCTTATAAATTAAAACTTATTTACAAGGATTTTCAAATCCATCAGTTTAAGAAGAAAAATCAAAATGGAACCAATTGTGTTCCATTTTGAGTTTTCTTAACCTAATATTTTAGAGTAGTCCTAATTCCTATTGTTTACAATTTATATATTTTGTTTGAATAAGACAGTGAGCTCTCTCTGCGAATCAGCTTTAATATTTCATTTTATATTATATTAATAGGATTCACTTGCATTATATTTCAACTTGATTTCCTATATATATATATATATATATATATATATATATATATATATGAAGAAATATAGTCTTAAGGTGTTTCTATATTTATGGGATAAAGTGCTCAATATCAGAGATAGAGCGTGTGTAAAAGTGAACATTGAAGTCAACACTTAGAGCGACATTCTGTTTCATGCTACACGCAATCATCGTAGTCTGACGATTGAGTCTAGCATGAAACAGACTGTCGCTTTTATATATATATATAATATATATATATATATATATATATATATATATATATATATATATATATATATATATATATATATATATATACAACAATAAAATCTCAAATTACCTCATATTGGGAATAGCCTATTTCGGAAGACTAACATATCGATCATCTGTCTTATCAGCCCCGGTGTGAACTGAATTCATGTGCATAGAGATGTAGAGTTAAATTCTACTTCCTGCCCCACCCCTATCAGTATAGACCCGAACCCAGTCCACACCGGGGTAGATAAGACAGACGACTGATATCTTCATCCGCTGAAATTGTAATATTTTATATTACAAATATCCAACAGATTTGTTATCTTTATATATATATATATATATATATATATATATATATATATATATATATATATATATATATATATATATAATGTTTATTCAAATTATAACTTATGCAATTTTGTTTCAACAATACTGCTGTCTTATCAAGATTTTGCAATCAACAGCATCATTGGATAGGATAGTTTTTTGCAATTTTTTTAGTGATATTATAACATGGAGACGTTATAAAGTTGAATAAACGTTATATATATATATATATATATATATATATATATATATATATATATATATGTGTGTGTGTGTGTGTGTGTGTGTGTGTGTGTGTCTGTGTAGAAACACTAACTTCTCATAAATATAGCCAGTGAAGCTAACCCCTTGGACTAGCCACATCTCAGATATGTTTTTAGAAAGAAGAGATTTTCCCTCCCATTGAAAAACTGATATTTACTTGGGCTATGCCTATGTTGAATAATGACACAGAAGTTTTTTCCGTTGTTTTCAATCGAACATTCCAGGATGTATTTCACTTTGACAGTTGCCTCAGCATTCGGTGTTTTATTCAAATTATTTTAATTTCTTCATTGAAATATAAAATAAAAGCGAAGACTCTAACGTTAGAGAAAGAAAGCAAAGAAAGGAAAATGAAGATAAAAATGTCGGAATCAAACGCAACTAGATGAAATATGGAACATAAGGACATCTCAAGAATATTATAATTGGCGCTGAAACTTTTCATTATTTTACCGCAACCAGAAGTCGGTGTCCAATAGTACTTAAAACCCAGATTTTAAAATGTTAATATTTCGAGGCAAGCAATTCCAAGCCCAACTTGGACGATAGGCGTAACATAATCTTCCAAGCCCACCCCGAACCCTAAGATGTGCTTAGCAGATTTCCAGAAAAATTCGAACGAGTGTACTTTGGCGTAAATGACAGACGAAGGAAGGAGTAAAATTCTTGCTTTGCTGAATTTACGGGAGAGAGATACGAAATGAGAAAGGGGGAGAGAATATCGGACGATGAAGAAGTGGAGGCGGGAAACAGAGGCAGGTTGGGACGGCAGTGGAGAATTCGTGTGTGTTTTGGATTCTGTCGAATCTCGGTGCAGTTCTTGTTTTCTCAGGAATCCACACGGGTCGAGGTGGAAAGACTTGTGGTTGGCGAGTTACGAGTTACACTCAATTCTTGCAGGGTCAGCGAATCGCTTGATATGTACCACTCTTACTTACATTCACGACTTAACTTCTTTAGGTTCCCCCCACTTGTACACCGAATTAGCAGCAATCCTCACACAAACGCATATATATATATATATATATATATATATATATATATATATATATTCGTGTGTGTGTGTGTGCGTCTGTGTCCGCGCGCGCAAGAAATTTAGGGCCACTCTATGAAAATGAAGGTTGCGTGCCTTTCTCAAAACTATTTTGCTAGTTCTCTTCAGACCAGAAGCGTTTTATCATATATTAAACAATAATATTAATAATAGTATAATTGTGCTTGCTGTACCCATTATTTATTTGGAACGAGCATTACGATTTGGCAATAACTCATAAATAATGGACGATTCCGTTTTCATCACGTTGAAAGGGGGGAAAGACATTACTTTCAATAAGAAAATGAATGAAAGAAAGAAAGAAAGAAATAAGGAAACATAGAAGTGGAGAGAGAAAATCAAATTTAGCTGATAATAACACATAATACACTTTGATCTTAGTCAAAATGGTGAGAATAGAGGGAGACGGTGATATAAATAATTGCTATAATTCCAGTTACCATAAATAAAATGACATAATCTGATGAATTTATTTTTAAATTATTATTTTTAAGAGAAATTTTCATATGACGGAAACATGAATAATAATAATAATAATAACCATAATAATAACGAATTTAAGCCAATACTAGATAAAGTGTGTGTATATGTGTGTGTGTGAAAAACATGATGAAAATATAGCTTGAATGTATGCTATATTCATATGTAAAATTGAACAAAATCAGATAGAGCCTATGTAAATATAAAGGTGGACACTGAAGACAACACCGAACTGCGACCGACATATTGGTATAATAAAGAAGATTGTCGCCGCTCGATGATGACCTCCGTGTCCACTTTTATATATATATATATATATATATATATATATATATATATATATATATATATATATATATATATATAATTATTATTATTATTAATGGATTAATTCCGACATTTATTTTAATATATTTTCTTTTTTACGTTTTTTTATATATGCAGTTATTTAAGTAAATGCTATTTTTTACAATAAATTTATATATATATATATATATATATATATATATATATATATATATATATATATATATATATATATATGTGTGTGTGTGTGTGTAAATTTGTGTACCAGTGCTCGATATCAAGGGAAGAAGAAGATATCAACGTGAATAAAAATATGAACATAGGAAATAATAATAATAATAATAATAATAATAATAAGAAGAAGAAGAAGAAGAAGAAGAAGAAGAAGAAGAAAAAGAAGAAGAAAGTGAAAATGAGGAAAAAAGGAAAGAAGGAAGGAAGAAGAAGTAGAAGAAAGTGAAAAGAAGAAGAAGAAGACTTAGAATATTGATGAATGAGTTTAAGATAAGCCGTATCCATTCTATGCGTTCTCCTGAAAAGTGTATGTGATTCCATGAAACTCGCAGTAGAAATATTCAACAACTCAGTTCTCGGTGAACAAATTTATAATTTTTTTTGTTTTCTTTATTATTATATTATTTTTATTATTATTATTATTTTCAATCTTTATCTTCTTCATTTTCAGATAAGTAAATTTATTTTTTCATTTTTTTGTCTTCTTTCAACTTTTCTTCCTCTTTCTGTTTTATCTCTTTTTTCTTGTTTTTACATTCATCTTTTTCTTATTGATTCTTAATTCTATTTGTTTTTTTTTATTTTCTTTTTCTTCTTCGTCCTCCTCCAATTAATATTTTTATTTGTATCTAACCTTCTTCACTTTCTATTTACTTTTCTTTCTCGATTTTGACCCTTTCATTTTTCCTTCTTCTTCCAGTACTGCTTTTTTTATTTTTTGCCTTCATTACTTCTTTTAATTATTATTAATATTATTATTATTATTATTATTGTTGTTGTTATTATTATTATTATTATTATTATTATTATTATTATTATTATTCCAACTGTTAGAGAAGTGCGCAATTTTAGACAAGAAAAGGGAAAAAAGACACGGTGTTTAATAAGATTTAACAATATTTAAAAATATGTCCAGTGTATGTCTTCTGCAACTAACGTTTAAAAATTGCATAAAAATATCTTTGGAGAATCGTCCTTTGTATTTTGAATAACGTTTGAACAAGTAATCAACGCGATAAATCTAAGGAAACACAGCCAGCGTTAATGGAATGCAACAGAAACGTGAGTAACATGATAGGGTGAAATCATCCTGAAATTTTCCGTTAATTTATTTGCTCTCCTATCATTGTTCATTGTTATTGTTAATAATAATAATAATAATAATAATAACAACTACAGAAAATAGATCATATAAAACTAAATATAAGACAGAATACAATAACCCATCACTCAAACAATAAATAGATGAGAGTAGAAATACATTAATATGTCAGAGGATGAGATAAAAGCTAATGTAAATGGGATACGGAATAATAATCTCCCAGGAAATAAAACCGAAAAATCTACCTGCCACATAAACTGTAATTATCCAGGTTATGGCAATGAAGATGGGTCAAAATACACTAGGGTAGAATTCCTTTGAAAACAACAGAGGTGAAATCACCGAAGCGAAAAAGTACATTATCCAACGACTTAACAGAGTAACTCTCACACAAATGATAGACCAGCACCCCAAAATTCATAAGACAAAGTAAAATAAACACATTGTTTAACACTGTTAACAGACAAACCACTGTAAAACATCGCATAAATATGTATGTATAGCCACTTGTATTCAAGGATAACCATCTACTAGGGCGGCTAGCCATTCTTATTGCAGACGCTTGCTTAGGTGCATTTGTGTTTATTCAACACCTATTTATACTGCAACTATGCTGATGAGACCTTAGTTACAGTTTCTGGGAAAGATCGTGATTAACAATTTGAACACTCAAATGACTTCTGACTTTGTGATAGTACAGCTCTTAACGTATGGCATGGTTACCAGTCACTTTCCAAAGGTGCTGCACACCTACCGTTCGATAACATCAGAAAGTCTTCTTCCTGACAAATCGACCATAGTGACATTCGAACCCGGGTCTCATGGTCTCATGGTCAGAATGCGAACGTTTAACCCCTCGGCCACGTGACCATATCACAGAAGTTAATAATGTCATATACGCAACTACTTTATCAGCTACTGGGAAGCTTGGGGCCAAGATCAGACAAAAAGAGCCAGCTTAAAAGGCAACATTGAAGCGAGAAATGTAAAGGAAAACAGATGTAGGATATCGATACTAGATGAGATCACAAGAAACACTAATGTTTCAACACTCAAATGCAGGAAGATCAAGCGCAGATATAAAAATAAATCACTAAATGAAATTCCATCAATCAAGGAAATACTGAAACAGAAACTACAGTTAAAGTTACAGGCAACAAAACAATACGAAAAGCGGTGTAGGATCTATCGGCAAAATAAAATATCCCAAGCGGATCTTTAGGAATTTTACAGGGAAATTGGAAAAAACTGTTATGCATGTCAAAAAGCCACCATAGCAAAATGCAGAAATTTTGGGAGGGTATTTGGAGCAGCCCAAAGAAATATAATCTCAATGTAGAATGGACCCAACGTGAAGAAGAACGAATTCTGGATAAACTTCTACAAAATAAATATTGCTCTATTGCTCTGAGCCGTCTTTTGAATTAATACTGTGAACGTTAGAATTTATATTATATTCGGATATACATACATTGAAGTCATCACCCAGAGGCGACGGCCTGTTCTATGTTAAACGCAATCGTCAGGCATTGTGTTTTAACTCGCCTATTTATATATACAGGCCAGTGATGCCTTGTGGCTATTCTATTCCATTGCAGTGAGTAGTCTATTGTATTATTCCAACGGTTATTTTGTTGTGTGGTACCGGCTGTGTTCCGAATTATTCTAGGTCCGATTGAGTGGAAATAATTGTGGATCCGAATGCAGTTTTTTTGCTTATTTAACGTGTTATTAGTTAACTTTTTTAGTTTATTGCTGGTAATTATTACTACGTTGTCCTGTGCGTACGTTGTTAATTTGTTTATTATTTACTTTGTTTACTTATTTACTTGTTTGTATTAATTTATTTTACTTGTTTTTGTTTACTTTGTTTTTTATATTTTCGTTTATTCTTGCTCCTTTTCAAAATGCAGACACAAAATCAATTTTTTATGTTACTTAAAAATCAAACTGTAAATTATTGTGCATATATATATATATATATATATATATATATATATATATATATATAATTATGAGTATTGATGGTAGCTTTAAAGTTTTCGAGCACTTTAGTTAGCACGGGTTTTCATCATATATTAACATCCCTTTTCAAATACGAATCCTTGTGTACAGACAGGATGAGACTCGTGCGCATGCGTTGTTCTTGTTTAACTGAAGTGTTTTCAAATAAGATTCAACTTTGCAAATGATTGAAGGTCTCCAATTGACACTTTTCCCTCTGTCCCCCTTCTCCTTGAAAAATTACAGCCTTTCCTCCCCATAATAATATCAACTCTAATAATAATAATAATAATAATAATAATAAGGGAGGTTTATGCGTAGTTGAGTGACGGTGAGCGACCTTTAGACGGGAGGAGGTGTATGGAATGATTTGAGGTTTAATAGGTGAGGGGTAATGGTTGAGGGTTATCAAGGTATTAGATAGGAGGGATGAATCAAGTGACGGTGCGGGGAGGTGATTGAACGAATTAAGTCGACATTGATTAACGGCAAGCAGTAAAACGATGTCAAGAAACGAAAAGAAATGAGAGAAAACGAAAACAAGGCTGAAGGAAAAAAATATTAAGAAGCGGAGATTTTAGAGTAAGGAGAAAACAGAAGAAATGGAAAATATTTACAGAAACAAAGAATTTAAGAATAGGATGAAGAAATGGAATACGAAAATAATAAGAAAGAAAGGAAGAAAGAAAGGGTGAATGAATGAAAGAAAGAAATCCCAGATAATAAAGAAAGAGAAATTACGAGAAAGATAGAAAGATTACGAGAAAGAAAGCAACAAAGAAATAGAAAGGAAAAAAAAAAAAATTATAGAGAAAAGAAAGAATGAAAGAAGAGAGGAAAGAAAAGGAATGAATTTATTATTACGATAGATAGATAGATAGATAGATAGATAGATAGATAGATAGATAGATAGATTGTAAGAAAGAAAGAAAGAAAGAAAGAAAGAAAGAAAGAAAGAAAGAAAGAAAGAAAAAGAAAGAAGGAAAAGGAAGAAAGAAACAAAAATTAGTGGACTGGAAAGGAAGATAAAAGAAAAAAGAAAAAGGAAGAAGAAAGGAAGAAAGAAAAATGAAGAAGGAAAGAAAGAAAGAAAGAAAGAAAGAAAAAGTAAGAAAGAAAGATAGAACGAATGAATGAATGTATGAAAAAGAAATAAAGAAAGGCATGTTTAACAGTAAATGATCAAGAAAAAAATTTTAAAATGAATAGAAAAGCAATAGCGGAAAAAAGAATGTATTAATGGGAAAGAAAGAAAATAAAGAATGAGTTTGGGGAAATGATAGTAAAGGAGAAAAGAAAGAAAGAAAGAAAGAAAGAAAGAAAGAAAGAAAGAAAGAAAGAAAGAAAGAAAAGATGAAAGGAAGGAAGGAAGGAAGGAAGGAAGGACGATGGAAAGAAAGAATGATGGAACGAATGAAAGAAAGAAAAGAAGAAAGAAAGGCAGAATGATAGAAAGAAAGAAAGAAAGAAAGAAAGAAAGAAAGAAAGAAAGGAAGAAAGAAAGAATGATGAAAGAAAGAAAGAAAAAAGAAAGACAGAAAGAAAGAATGATGGAAAGAAAGAAGGAAATAAATAAATAAAAAAAAGATGATAGAAAGAAAGAAAGAAAGAAAGAAAGAAAAAGGCAGAATGATAGATAGAAAGAAAGAAAGGAAGAAAGAAAGAATGATGAAAGAAAGAAAGAAAGAAAGAAAGAAAGAAAGAAAAAAAGAAAAAGAAACGAAGAAAGAAAGAAAGAAAAATGATGAAAAGAAAGAAAGAAACAAACAAAGAAAAAAGAAAAAGAAAGTATGATAAAGTAGTTCAATTATATGAAAAAGAAGGCGAAATCAACCAAAAATAATGAAGCAGCTTAAATCTTCAAGGAAGATATAAACGTGGGTAGAAAAGAAAGAAGTAGAAATTACGAGCAAATGAAGCTAGAGACGGAATTGCAAATTCATTAAGACATAAAGAAAAGGAAATATTGGAGAAGGAAGAAGGAAATACAAGCGGAAGAAGAAAAACAAAATATTTTTCGATTTTGAAAATATAAACAAAAGAAATTTACGATAAAAAAGAATTAAAAAAAATGATTGAAACGCGAATGAGAAAAATAAGGTTTTAAACTGACGAATAAGAAAAAAAAATATACACAGATAATAGGCTGAGGAAAAGAAAGATAGATTTAATAAATTGAATTTTAAAAGAAAACCATAAAGAAATAAAAACTTTTAACAAAATAAAATATGCTCCCGATCCGACCTTATAAAAAAATTAAATTTGAAACAAAATCCAGCCAATCAAATATTGATAAAAATAATTTGAAAAATTCCCATTTAAATGATTTTTTTATTGAGTTTTATCCTCCTTAACACGATGTTCTTATTTTATTTCAACTAATCTCTTTTTCAATCATGATTTAGTTTCTCATTGCCCGATATAGTGTTTTTCTTCCCTGGGCTCATCATGTAAACAAGTTGTTCTCTAAACGTTAAACCAAATAAATATTTCCATGAAATTTAGACCCCCACCCACGCAACCGATGGGCTTAGATGTGACAAAGGATCTATAATAGTGATCAATAGAGAAATATGAATTGAGAGAAAGATAAATATATAAGCCTCATCTGGCATAAGGTCTCTGTTATAGAGCACATCATTCTGTTTCAAAACCTGCAAATAGGTATCGCAAAGGTAGATCCAACGACAAAGGGATAGATAGATAACATTATAGTGGTTGTGTACATTTTGATTTAGGATAAAGGAGACGTTTTGGGACCAATTTTCAATCACTGTTTATTTTTAAATCACAGGTAACACTGAAAATGCCGGTATTGAACATTGATTACCATAACTGAAGAAAATAAACAAATCACGAAACACAGTAGTATATATATATATATATATATATATATATATATATATATATATATATATATATATATATATATATATTTATATATATTATATATAAGTGTGTTTGTGTGTGTAACGAATGCACGGCCGCAATTTCTGACGGATTTGCACCAAAATTTACACGCACATGCTCCAAGATAGTGGGAAGACCAAGGCCGACTTTACATTTCCAAACTCCCATAGATAGTGAAAATAATCGATTTTTATGCTTCTACGGCAGTTTTCATATAGTTTGCGGCCATTTTCTACTGGCCAAAGTGAGAGCCTATAGCTGACTGCCACGAATAGGCAGGAAGATTCTATTGGCCAGCGTGAGAGCCAACAGCTGACTGACACGAATGTTAACTAGCATGCTAGCATGCAAAAAAATCGATAGCTGCATTCGTCACAAGTGGGAAATATTTAAATCTGCATGGCACTTTACTCTAATTGGTCTCATTTGCTTGCTTAAACTCAACGTTGATTCTGATTTCGCAGAACTGGCTTGGATGTGAAAAAGTATTTGTTGTTAACATTCTTTTTTCATTCGGTTTTCCAGTTACGAGTCCTTTTTTAAAGCTGATCGTTTTGTGTTCATTTTATTTAGTTCTTTTTCGTAACAGATTTAATGTTTAGTATAGAGCTTAGAAAAAATTCGCAGTGTGAGATAGGCAAGAAGTAAGGCATGTAGCAACATCAGCAAGGCAAAGGGCACTCCTTTAAAGGCAAGGAAGGGGAAAAATATTTTAAGTCAAGTGATGGCGATTACTGTATGAGTCGTACTATTTTTGAATCAAGCACGGGCAACGCTGGGCTAGTGTATATATATATATATATATATATATATATATATATGAAGAAAGAACAGTAAGATATATAATCCAGTGCTCAATGTAAATTTACAGAGCATTAATATTATAAATTAATTGATTTAAAATATGTTTTTTCCGCTACACAGTCCTAACCATGTTTCAAAAATTTCTGAAACATGGTTAGAACTGTGTAGCGGAAAAACATATTTTAAATCAATTAATTTATATATATATATATATATATATATATATATATATATATATATATATATATATATATAATAAATGCGAATATCAGTGTGTCGCACTTTTTCAACTTTACTCCTAGAGGTCGTAGCCCAACATGTACGGTTTGAATCAGGCCGAATTCCGTGAGAAAATTAAAAACATTCCGGTACAGATTTGGATCCGCAATCCTGGAATTATGGATTCCTAAGTTTTCATTACTCCGATTGTTTTCGACGAATTTTTTTTTGTATGATAACGTTTTTTATAACTTGGAAATAAATTTGGGAATAATCAAAATTAATTGCAAAATCGGGTGAAAGTCACCAATGAAAAAAAAATTGTACGGAAATTAAGGGCCTACGTACATGAAATTGTTTTTAAATTCCGTGGCGGCAGAAGAATTATCTTCGAACCTTTAAAAAGTAAGCTTAAATATTAACCCGATACTTAAATGAAGCTATCTGTAGTTTATTGTTGACTATTGTATTTAATCCTAACTACCTGCTGTGAAGAAGAACCACTCAAGAGCCACCCGCAGTAGCTAGGTTAAATGACGCCTGATAGCGTGGCTTTTAAGCTAATATATTTATAATAATGTATGTGGCCCAAGAGCAAATCAAGTTTTAATATGTGGTGCTGAATTAGCATAGAAAAAAACAAGCGTTAGGACTATAGAGCTGATTTCTTGGCTTTAGAAAGAACAGGAAACAAGGGATAAACCTCTACTCTTATTCAAGTCGGGACAGGAAACAATATTCTAAACAGGTGACAAGGGATTAGCCTCTTCTTCTGTTAAAAAGACTGGGGAGGTGTGTGAACCGGACGATTGACGTTGCATTTAAATTTTTGAAGATTGTTATTATCAGAGAAGTAAGTAAACGGAAGGTAGTTCCACAGGATGGAAGTGCGAGAAGAAAAACTGTTGTAATAGAAGTGGCGGTTAAATTCATGTAGTCTGGTCCCCAGGGAAAAACGTTCGTCAGAGCAGTTGATATGGAGATATTTGTAGAAAAGACAGAAGGAAGCCACGTCGAGTCGGTGAGAAAGATCGATTACATTGAAGATCTTCTTTTGGATATTGTCATGACCGTCAAGACGAATAGCAGGAGCACCAAACAAGATATGGCAACAGAATTCAATGCACGGGCGAATGGTAGATTTGTTAATGTGCAAGATGGACTCTGACAAGAAAAAACCTTTTGGCACGACACAGTGAACCAAATTTCCTTGCAGTAGATGCAGCTATTGAGTCGTTTCACTTCATGTCAATTGAAAAAGTGTGGCCAAGAAAGAGCAGTACGCACGTGCGTGCACACACACAGACATATATATATATATATATATATATATATATATATATATATATATATATATATATATATATATATATATATATACGATTTGATCACAAAGTATCAGGATTGTCATTATGGTAACGGAACTAAAGTACGCACGCAATTGTCACAGATTGTCATTCAGTTTTTTTTTGTTTTTTTTTATAGCAGTGCTTGAAAGGAAAGTGTGTAGAGTGTGGTCGTCTCGTCATATCTCATAATTCCCATCAGGGACTATGTCTTGTGCATTTCCCAGGTTGACAACCACCATATTACCCAGATGTTGCCCCTTGTGACTTTTCCTTTTCAAAAAACAAATTCCACTCAATCCAAAATATTTCAAGACAGCAAAGAATTCTAAGTGAATATAACGAGGCAGCTGCTCTCTATCCCCACAAAAAGGAATTACGAGACTGTTTACTTCAATGCAAACGACGCGGTATAAACTGTGTGGTTTTAGAAGGGGAATACTTTGAAGGAGATTAAATGTCGAAGTGATATGTGTTGTAGGTTTTTATTCATAGCACTTTTTGATCAGACATCGTATATTGTTACTTTTGTTTAAGTATTTTCGAATATCGCTCTCTTGTAGTGTCTGCGTGGTTGTTAAAATTCCTTTATCTACATTCTTTGGCTACATCCTGATATTCTTTGGGGGTTGGAATTTTGACATGGTCTAGCGTGAAGTCGTGTATATATCCTGAATTCTTGACCCCGACAGAATAATGAAATCATGTTTTATCGGTTATCGATTGTCTGCCAAAATAATAATTATCTTTTAGTAGAATCTATTCCCGTTCGTACGTCGAACTGTTTTTGAAGTCGCCATTCTCTCTGTTTGGTTGGAGGAGAATGCATCGTGTGTTTTCCAATTACAACAGGTATTTAGCATAAGTCACGTATTCAAGCGGTAAGCCTACCTCGTTAGGCCTTCGTATTCTAGCAGGACGCGGATATATTTCGAGCCAGCATGATAGAGTTGAACATATTCTTACAAAATCCTTAATCGCATGTGCGCATGCGCGTGCGTTCATCCATACATCCACGGCCTCCACATTCACATGCATTATACACACACACACACACACACACACACACTTACACATATGGGGAAAGAAAAGAAACCTACACATGCATTTAACACAGACACAGGTGTTTCACAATTTTTGAAACAAAATGATCGGCACAAATCAAGGACCACAAATGGCAGAGTAATTGTGGTACGGTGGAGTAGTGGATAACGGCTCGGATTGAGGAATCGGAGAGCCAGGTTCGAATCCCAGTAATGTAATAGATAGATAGATAGATAGATATGAAGAAACTTAAACAGATAGATATGAACAAATTCAGATAGATAGATATGGAGAAACTCAGATAAATAGATAGATAGATAGATATAAACAAACTCGGATATAGAGAAACTTAGATATGGAGAAACTCAGATAGGTAGGTAAGTAGATAGGTATGAACAAACTCAGATAGATAGATAGATAGATAGATAGATAGATGTAGTAATATGCATTGACAGATTTGTTACTGAAGTATAACGTCCGCACAAGTATATATGTACACAGAAGATCACGAAATCGTATGTATACGATTTTCGCCTAAAAACTCAATGCACCTCCATAGAACGACAGTAATGGACTTCGGTGCCAACGAAGGAGAAACAAGCAATGGATGTAAATGAATCTCACGAAGAATTATGGAACACAGCAAGAAAAAGTTAGCGAATGATTCAGCCAACAAACAGCCACATGGAACGAGAGAGAGAGAGAATAAGGGAATGATGATGCTCGGATCAAGAAAGAGTTTGTTGAGGACGGAACTACTAGCAATAAACTAAATATGCTGGGTGAATAGCTTATGAAATAAAATAGAAAAAAAAATTCAAAGCGCAATGAGGCAAGATGCTCGCCTTGCTTTCCCTTACTGTGTGACGAACACCCGCACACTTCATCGGCGCTTGTATCTCCCTGTTTCACGGTCACCATACTTCTTTTCACGCTCTGACCCCCCACTCTCTTTGTGTCTGTCTCTGCGGCTGGCTGGCTGGCTGGCTGGCTGGTTACGCATTTCTCCTCTTGCACTCAAACCCCAGCCAATCTCTATCCAACTCCACGAGTAAGATCGGGTGTCAGAAGTCTCCCGCTTTTTAAAGTACTTACTGAAAGCGTTCGCTTTTCGTTTCGGGTGGAGTTTACACAAATTGAAGCGGCAACTTGCGTTCGAATTTCGGGAATTTAAAGGAAGGCATGAATCCACTATACCTTGTTCTGTATCCGATCGTCATAGAAATTAAGTTATCTCTCAAATAGCCAATAATTTTTTACATAATAGCCTGGCGTAATGGTGATTTTCTAAGTGTAGCTTAGACGTGGTACAAGGCCGAAAACATAGGCCACCCAGTGAGGATCGAACTCACTATTCAGTCGTAATTGATCTAGCGAGGCTAAGTTGTTAACTATTACACTACGCCGAAGTGCCCAAAAGCTTAGAGCTGGCACAAGGCCGAAAGTTTGGAGCACCCAGTGAGAATCGAAATTACTTTTCAATCGTAATGGTTCTAGCGAGACAAGTATAATCAATCAGTATAGCTTTCTAATTATTACAAGACCTCGAAGTGATCCTAGCATGTGTTAATAATTAGCAAGCTATACTGATTGATTAATACTACTGAGTAGTGAATTTGGCCCACACCGGGTGCCCTATATGTGTGAATATAGGCAATCTTAGATAATGATGACAGAGAAAATAATGTATAAGACTTGGGTAAAACAGTTGACTATGAGTAACCAATTCTTCTAAATAAACAAAAGCTGTTATATCAATTTGCAGTCTTGACTGGCAAATGTCAGAGGAAATTTGCAGTAATTAGCTATTTTTTTAATTTTTTATTTTTTTATTGTATATAGACCTATTTGCAAGGGTGGGTAAATAATTCCTGTTGCACACGCCTGCTAAGGAATATTTGAGGTCATTTTAAAAACCAGAGAGCCTACCTCTGGTTTGTTCTGAAACTACGACATGCGAATCTTAGCTACAATTTCTGGATGAGAGCGTGCAACCTGGCTTGATTAAGAGTTTGATTAAAACTAGTCTGCTGAAACTCGTGCAAAATTATATATCTTTGGTTGTATTTATAAACTTGCGGGATAGTTCTAACCCAGTGACTCTCGATAACCGAATTGTGCGTTGGCACACTAATCTGCCGCGGGATTCTCTTACGTGGGCCGGGAAATATTGTCACGGCATCCATATATATATATATATATATATATATATGAAGAAAAATTTGGAAAAAACAAACAAAAATCCTTAAATGCAATTATGTTGTTTAAAATGAATGAAATGTCGACGTCTGACGTTTCGGTTTAATAAACCTTCTTCGGGACAATATTCATTAAAATACAGTTCAGTTCAATTTGACAAAGACGATGGACATATTGTCCCGAAGAAGGTTTATTAAACCGAAACGTCAGACGTCGACATTTCATTCATTTTAAACAACATAATTGCATTTAAGGATTATTGTTTGTTTTTTTCCAAATTTTTCTTCATTCTGTCGGATCTATATCCATTTACATTTGCTTATATATATATATATATATATATATATATATATATATATATATATATATATATATATGTGTGTGTGTGTGTGTGTGTGTGTGTGGCTATGTGGAAGTAGTGATGGAACAGCGTTAGTATCTGAATAAATAAATAACTTTATTTTCAAATAATTATTTTCACAACTTTCCGATTGTGTTATTGTTTTAATGTTCAAGTTTTAAAAAGGATTTTTCCATAGCCTTGGATGGCAACTGGTGTACCGCAGAGGGAGTGGCGATCTGCTGCGGGAAAGATTCTGCATCGTCAGTCATGTATCGAAAGATACATGATCGCTTAAGCGTGTATTACGCATGGCACATAACTGACTGACTATGTGAAGAAGAAGGACTGGTCATCATTTCTAGTGAAGACTCAAAATAAAACAATCAACGGTACCCATTTTGGGATTCATTACAAAACGAATATCCGATATTAGCTAAAAAGACTTTATCAGTTTTAATGCCATTTTCTACTTCTCATTTATATGAATTTGGCTTCTCCGCTGTAAATAGCATCAAAAGTAAGAAATGATAAAGACTGAAGAAAAAAAAATTAAATTTATTTTCAAATAATTCTTTTTACAATTCTCCGATTGTGTTATTCTAAACACTTAGATTTAATATTCATTTTTTTAAAAAGGATTATTTTTATGGGCTCAAAATTCGACGGTAGCCATTGATACATTTTACTATTCAATACAAAAGGAATATCACATATTAGCTAAAAGGGCTTTGTCAGTTTTAATGCAATTTTCTACTACTTATCTATGTGAATTACGCTTCTCAACTCCAAATCATACAAAAAATAAGAAGCGAGAAATATTACACTCAACTGAAGAAAAAATGATAGTCTGCTTATCGTACATTCGACTAAACATTGAAGAAATCGTGAAAAAACACCAGGCACATGTTTCACACTAAATAAGCTAAACAAATAGCTGAATAGAGATATTGAAATAAAGTTCATATTTCTGTGGGTATTTTTTCTAAAATGCTATGCTTTTATTTCATAACATTTAAATGTACACCCTTTAAAATTTTGCTAAGTGCGCCGTGATATTTTCATTTTCTCTTGGTGTGTCGTTGTTTAAAAAGGTTGAGAAAGACTTCACGAACACATCAAGCATCGTCACCGATACTTGATGTGTTCGTGTTCTGCTAAAAATCAATATTTTTTATTCGATTTTCTTGATGAATAAAATCTCCTCAGTTAAAATATTTACATGATCTTCCTACCGCTTTCACAACTTTCGTATACTAATAAAATCAGCGTGTGTCTTTATTTAGTAGATATGCATTTATAGCATGTAGACATAGTAGATTTATATATATATATATATATATATATATATATATATATATATATATATATACACCCGTTCGCACCCGTGCATTGGGATCGTCCTCCTCTCACCTTAGTCCCTTTCTCCCCCTACTGGTTGTGACGGAGATGGCTGTGAAAACCCAGCCTACTTCAACATCACCTCCGATTGGCGGGTCACGTGTCCAGAATGCGTCCCACTCGACTCCCACGTATCATCGTATTTAGAGAAGACATCAACGGAAAAAGGCTACGCAGAGGCCCAAAACGAGGCTACAAGGATTAGTTTACAACATCCTTGGCACAGGCCAACATCGTCCCTGAGACCTGGACATCGGCTTTCCTGGAGTTGGACCATCTAATGGAAGGGTCCGAAACTTTCTAGTAGAACTGTCAACATTAAGAGGATCTACGACAGGAGGGACAGTCTCTCCCAGCCGTGTTCAGCACCCACACTCCTAAAAAAATGTTTCAGATTCAGTAAAATAGAACTTTCACTTTCCCTTTATATTCGTATGTATATTACACTTTTAAACAGTCACACACGCGTAGTTTAACGTGTATACATTGTATGTGTTTGTATAAATAAATCCAATCCCTAACACATAATATGATAAGAGATTTCACCTAAATTTGTTCAATATAACTGATTAAAATGAACATTGCATTAAATGTATTGGAGAAACGTTTACTAATATAAATTACATGAATATTTTTTGTACAGTATAGGAGTTTTTATGCCCTCTCGTTTATTTCTTCGTCTGCCCAGTCTCACACACTATGCTTGGATAAACTCATAGCATGGTTTTTAGGTGCCGCGCGATGTCTTCACCGTCACATAATACCGCAAAGTCACCTACATGTCCAATCAACCATAGCCCTCTGTGTAGAGATAATTAAATACAAAACGCCATCTTTTCTGTTCATTCACCCCAAAATATTAATTCACACCAAAATAAAAAGAATTTATATTTACTAAAATTCAAACCAAATTTTCGCAGAGCGAGACCTTTCCATTGTACTCTGGTTGGGTTGACTTTTGCGATCATCTCAAATGTGGGAGATATTTCTAAACGCGGGGTCTACGTTCGCACTCACCTCGATAAACATGCTAAAACGTGTTTTTTTTTTTTTCTTTTTGAATTGTAAAACATTCTCATCAAGTACATCGAATATCATACACACTTACGAAATGTGAATAACTCCCTGTTTTTTGTCATTTTTATTCAGAGGGTTAGAGTTGTTGTGAGGAAAGCTAAACAAATTTTCAAAAGACCGCCAAAAATGTAATAAAAAAAAACAAACTTTAACCTAAAATTTATAATTTCTGGGAGTGAATTAATATTTACGACAAGTAACTTTCCATTATTTGGGATCAATTAACTGAAATGATCCCACACTGTTTCTGCTACCCCGGGTATGTGTCTATTGAGTCAGAAATTAATTTCTAGAATGTTTCACTGTCATGTAATTATATTTTTAAATGAATTATTGCCTTATCATTGAAATTATTTTATATACGTTGACAGTAATATTTAATTAAATCGTTTTCTTATTATTTTCCGCATAATTTCATTATCTCTCCTCCATTGGTTTCATTTCATATAAATATATTTCTTAAATATCAAAACCATTAAAAAAACCAAAAAAAAAACCAAAAACATACAAACTTAACAGACAAACGTTATCAGGATTCTTTCTCGAAATATTGTTAAATTAAAACCCTTGTATTTGTTGCATGTATCAGTCCAAAAATATTAAGTTTTACCTTATTAAACACTTGTCACTCTAACAAGGTATTGACGTCGAAACTTCAGCTTGTATCTTTACATTAGAAGCTGTTGCTTGTCGTCTGTTACTTCTAAATTTAGATTCATTAATTTAAATAAAAAATAGAATAACAATCTATTTGTAATATAATTATAGGAGTTGTTACGTTGATTGCATTTATTAATTAATCTAATTCAATTTTGCTGATAATGAAAACGCATTCCTCTCATCTGTTTGACTTCGTGCTAGAATGTGGTGACATCTTTAAACACTGGTCAATTTTGCGAGCAGT